CGGGTGTGCACATACTGCGATTGAAACTTCAGGGCCCATGTGCAAAAGTCGGTTTTCGGCTCTCAAAAGAAATTTCAATCGTTGTACTGTTGATATTTGGCTCTGTTGACTAATGAGTTTGCTGACCATTACCTAACCTGATAATCCTTTTATTTTTACCAAACCTAACCATTGAAATGTCTCTTTGCTTTGCTAAAAGGGCAAATGTGTAGTCTAGTAAATAAAAAGCTAATGGGTCCAGGCATTTGGGGAACTTCTCCACTAGAGAGTAAGGTCTCCACCTGGCTCTCCGCATGCCTTCTAATTTATATTTCTTGTCTAGTGTGTCCGTTTGTGCACAGGAATGCAAGGATGGTACAATATCCACAAATCAGTAAATGTGGTACATCACATAAATAAATTGAGAGATAAAAATTGCATAGTCATATCAATTGATGCAGAAAAAGTATTTGATAAAATCCAACACTCTTGATAAAAACTCTCAACAAGATGGGAATAGAAGGATCATATCTCAACATAACAAAAGCCATATATGATAAAACCACAGCCAACATCATACTCAATGGGCAAAAACTAAAACCATTTCCTCTAAGAACAGGAACAAGACAGGGATGCCCACTCTCACCACTCCTGTTTGACTAGAAGTATTAACTATTGCAATTAGACAAGAAGAAGAAATAAAAGGCATCCAAATTGGAAAAGAAGTAAAATTGTCCTTATTTGCAGATGACATATTGTACATAAAAAACCCGAAAGACTTGAACCACTTTCTTACACCTTATACCAAACAGCTGTTGCCCTTAAAATCCCTCCTCAGCCCCCACCTTAGGTTCTGCCTTTGTAGTTCACCCAGATTTGATTGGTTGGTTTCTATGCCAGTCAGTGTCTCCAGGCCTGATCAGAGAGGTGGGTTGATTAGCTGCCCTCACGGAGGCCCGGAGAGAAACAGGTGCAGCTGCTGGTGAAGCCTGGAGAGAAAGAGAGAGGCAATGGCTGATCAACAGCTGCCATGGAGGCTGCGGATCAGACCCTGCCTCTCTCCCTGGGCTTCTCTCTGACCTGATCCGCAGCCTCCTCAGCAGTCAGTGCTGGGTCACCAGGGCAACCCAGCATTGATTGCAGGACTGATTTCTGATTGGTCGAGTCTTGGGTCATTTTGGATGTTATGGACCCTGGTTTTATATATATATATATATATATATATATATATATATATATATATACACACACACACACACTAGGATTATGTATAACAGGATATTGTAAAAATTAAGTTATGAAATTTTTATAAAAATATTTCTTACATACTGTTATATTGGCTAGGCCACAAAAATATTCACTGTGGGCCTCATGCAGCCCATGGGCCGCGAGTTTGACATGCTTGGTCTACACCCACACTAAGGCCCTATACAACTTGTCCACAAGAACCCTTTTGGGAGTGCAACTTCTTTCTGGTGAACTCCCTAGGTCACAAGCTCTTTTAAATAAATTCTATCTACTCAATCGTGTTCTGAGTTCAGTGCTCATTTCTATGACACAGAGACTTAAGAATTTGGCATTCAAGGAAACAGAAACATGACTCAAGACATATAAAGAATAAATTAAACTGAAGCTTCCCCCTTCCCTCAATATTCATACATCTTCAGAATGGGGCTATAGTATCAATATTGTTTTTAACAAATTCTAAGAAAAAAAGTTTATGTCCATTCAGAAAAACAGCATGTTACAAATATTAACACAAAAGTATAATGAACTAATATTTGGCCATACTAATGTGCTATCAGAAAAAATTACTGGGTGCAAATTGTTATGTAAATCTGAAATTCACTGCCAACTTTAAGACACAAACATAAACATTTTTATTAATTTCAAGAACATTATTATATAAATTAAGTCTATTCATATTTTAAGTAATCATTTCTAATACTTAAAAGCTTTGATTTTCATGTGTTCATTTTAAAATTAAGCATCTTGCTGAAGTTTTGTAAGAATCCAGTTTTCCATGTAATCATACTATCTGCAAATGACCTTTGTTTTTCTCCTTTTCTAACGTTCTTTTAAATAATTCAATGTATTAAATAAGAGTGGTTAGTAGACTCCCTGATTTTATTCCTAATTTTAAGAGATATATCTTTCATGTTTCATAGTAAATTTGTTGTTAATGTTATATTCCTTTAGACCAGGAGTGGAGAACGTCTGGCCCATGGGCCATATTAAGGCCCTCAAAATAATTTGGTCTGGTTCAGCTAAGGCATTAGGGGCAAGTTAATCAAATGTTTGACCAAATAGAGCAGGCTCATTTTAAGTTGATAATTTTGTATGGCCTGGGAATGATGTTATAAATATCCAAATGGCCCTTGGCAGAAAAGTTTCCCCACCCCTGCAAACATACTGTACTAAGTTTCATCAGGACTGCAAGTTGAATTATATTTTTAGGCATTTATTAAAATGAGTGTATGATTCCCCTCCTTTGCTGCTCTACAAATATATTAAAATACTTAAAACAAAACAGGATACCAACCTTGTACAACTGATCCTTAAATTATGTGGGGGTCAGGGTTGCCAAACCACCCCACCCCTGCAGCTAATTATCTGCATATAAATTTTGACTATCCCAAAACTTAACTACTAATAGCCCTACTGTTGATGAGAGCCTTACTGATAACGGAAACAGTTGATGAACACATAATTTCTATGCTGCATTTAACATATTCTGTATTCTTACAATAAAGGAGACAAAAGAAACTCATAAAGAGAAAATACATATATTTACTGAAAATAAAACTGTGTTGAGGTCAACTATATTTCTAGAATGCATACTACACTATTTGATCATGGATTAGTGTTTCTGTAAAATGTAGTTGGTTGATTGATTCATAATTCTTTTTTATTTTTATTGATTTTTTGAGGAGGGGGGAGGAAGAGAGAGAAAGAAAATTAATTTGTTGTTCCACTTACTTTTGCATTCGTTGGTTCTTGTAGATAGTATGACCTGACCAGGGATTGAAACCACAACCTTGGTGTATGGGGATGACACTAACCAACTGAGATCCCTGGCCAAGGCTATTTATAATTCTCTAAGACTTTTGAATCTATTTTATTTTACTTTGTCAATTTTTTGGTATTGGGTTCATGCTAACTCTAAAAATACATTAGAATGCCTTTTTAACATTCTGTGACAGTTTAAATTGCTTTAAATATATCTTCCTTGAAATGTTAAAAGAGCCGAGACCAGTTTGGCTCAGTGGGTAGAGTGTCGGCCTGCAGACTGAAAGATCCCAGGTTCGATTCTGGTCAAGGAAGGGCATGTACCTTGGTTGTGGGCACATCCCCAGTAGGGGGTGTGCAAAAGGCAGCTGATCGATGATTCTCTCTCATCGATGTTTCTGACTCTCTATCCCTCTCTCTTCCTCTCTGTAAAAAAAAATCAATAAAATATATATATTTTTAAAATGTTAAAACACTCTATAAAACACCTGGATTTGATATCATTTAAAAAATTCTTCCATAATTTTATAAAAAATTTTAATAATTTTCTATTGTGGGTTTATTGAGATATTTTTGATGTCTTTTTCTAGAAAATCATTCATTTCATCCACATTTTAAAGTTTATCAGCATAGGGTAATACAAAATTCATTTATAATTTTAAAACCTTTTATTCATCCTAAATACTTTTGTGTTTTACATGTTCCTGTTTTCTCAAGAAATATAATGTAAACAATATAATTTCTGAACACTTGCATATCTGAACATTTCTCTCCATTGAAAGACATTTTCATTAGGTATAAATTCTTAGTTTAAATTTTCCCTCTCCAAAAGTTGAAGGGATGGTTACTTATCAACTTCTGGCATTGTATGAGGCTAGCTTTGTTTTTCTACTCTTGCAGATAACTGGCTTTTGTTTCTGCTTTATCCTTAATATTTAACACATCATTAAATTATAATTGTAATGTATCTAAAATACAGGATGTGTCTAATTTAGACTCTGTTCCTCACTGATTTTTCTGGAACATGATGAGCTTTTCCAATCTGTACATGCAGATCTTTCTTTAGCGTGCCCCACCCTCCCCACCCCCGCCTCAAATCTTTATTTAACTACAACTTTGAATAATGCTCTGCTTTACTTGTCTTGTTCTCTTCTTCAGAAACATCAAATATCCCATGCTGAAGTGCCAACCTCTGCTCTCCCACCTGGCATCCACTCTCTTACTTGTCCCATCTCTAGGCATTGTGTGTTCTGAGAAGCTAGTCTTTTGTTCTGTTAACAAAAGTACCCATAATGGAATTTTTCTGAAGTATCCATAATGGAATTTTTTTTGTTGTTGTTTATTTCTGGCTACTTCACTCATCTTTGGCTACAGCAGGAGATAGATATTTCTGGGTGTTGTGATTATGACATTTTAATTTTTCAGTGTAAACACTTTTTTATTTTGTACAAATATGCTTTGGTGATAATTAAATTATTTTGGAAAATAAACTAGAAAAATAAAAATTTTTTCTCTAAAGTGCTTCATGGATAACACAATAAAATATCAATATCTGTGAATCTAGGATATATAGAAAAGTTATAATATGAAGATGATAGTTAAAAATTATGTACTTTTGTTTCCAAAGGGGGAGATTTCTAATATATTAAGGAAAAAGAATGACAACATGATCTAGCCCTGTTCCCACATAAATACTAGTTTTATTCCAAATAATCACATAATTTAAAATATTTTTATAAAGCAGTTTTACAAAAAATAACCCCAGTGTCATTAATTCTGGAAATTCCATTTTACACATTAGTACTACCTAAGTTGAACTGTAACATTACAATAATTCCATAGCTCCTCTAGATTTCAATCTTAAAGTAAAAAAAAAATTTCTATCTTATTTTTCATGATAAATGATGCTACTGGAAACTTTACTTGTTAGACTTTTAGTTACTCTGATGATTTTTGCAATCTTACAAATAAGCAACACATATATAATGTATATAAAATAATAATAAGCCAGTCTAATGGCTTGCATTGGAGGCCAGGGTGTTGCATTTCGTTAAACCCAAATTGAACAGAGTTGAATTTAGGTTAATACAGAGAAAGGCATGCTCTGGATGTGTTGTCCTTTGTAATTCCTGAAGCATCAGATGAATTGTAAAAAGTTCAAAGAACTTCTTATTACTCCTGTAAGAGAATGAGTACATTAATTTAATTACACACACTTAAGGAAATCATCTGTAATTATATTGATAACATGTGTAAATATAGAAAAATGGCATCTGTTTTTTAAAAAGGTGAAGAAAATAAGTAACTATAAGGAATTAACATGCCACCCAGCTGGTGTGGCTCAGTGGTTTAGCATCGACCTATGAACCAGGAAGTCACGGTTTGATTCTTGGTCAAGGCATATGCCCAGTTGCAGGCTCGATCCTAGGGGGCAAGCAGGAGGCACCTGATTAATGATTCTCTCTCATTGTTGATTTTCTGTCTCTTCCTCTCCCTTCCTTTTTGAAGTAAAAAATATATATATATATATATATATATTTTAAAAAGAATTAGCATGCCCAAGACAAATAAAGTAAATTTCATAAGATAGGCCTAAAATGACAAAGTATTGAAGGAAAAAGAAAATGGTTCATAATCCTTAAAACTGTACAATTCACTATTACAACAGTTGAGAATAGCTTTTTCCGTAACAGCTAGAATAAGTCAAATACAAGTACTAGATCAACTTACTTTAAACTTTTTAAAGTAGCAGAATATTGGTTTATCTTTTGCCTTTGTACCAAAATATCTTTTCAACCATGTTCCTCTTTCTAATAATCAGTTAGTAATTTCATGATCAATTAGTTAGAATTATATCTGATTATATATTTCTTATTTCCTGTCTACATATACTTATATCTTGGGAGAAATTATTAAATAACTGTATATAACCATCTATTTGATACAGAAGAATTTATATCTTTGTGGTTTTAAAGAATTACTTTAAGACTGCTTTAGCATCAACTGTTCCCAATCCAAGGATATATTTGCAATTTTGGGACCACTTAAAAAAATCCCATGAATTAACACCTAAGGAAGAATGAAACCTAAGGAATGTAATTGTAGTTTCATGCCATCACAAGTAACTATAACAGGCCTTATTGAGAATTTACTGATTACAAATCAAGACAATCATATTACAGTCAGTCTTCAAGAAAAGGATGACAATGATTTGGTAAGTTTAACTGACACCAGATGAAAACCAATAATTTGGTGAGATGAGTATGAGACTGTAATTTACTATGGCACCAAATTGGACATATCACACACCTGCAAATAATTTTAAGATGTATTCATACTTGAATGAGACCTGGTAAACACCTAAGTTCACCACAATGGAAGTCATGACTGAGGGGAAAGAAAGGGCACAGAGGAGCTAAACCAAAACTACAATTTAACTGTCATAAAAACTGGACCATACCAAGAGTCTAAGAAAATATAGCTTAAAATCTATTTATAATTTAAAAAATGATTATACCTATACTTGCTTAAGAGGAAATATGAAAAGAAAGCCCCTAATTCTTACAGTAAAATCCAAATTAGTGGCAGGAAGCTCATATAATTTCCTAAAATAAACATTATTTTAAAACTTTTCTGCCTACTTTTTCTTATTCCCTAAACTACCTTTACTACACAATAAGAATCTGAGAAATAGCCGAAACCGGTTTGGCTCAGTGGTAGAGCGTCGGTCTGCAGACTGAAAGGTCCCGGGTTGGATTCCAGTCAAGGGCATGTACCTTGATTGTGGGCATATTCCCAGTAGGGGATGTGCAAGAGGCAGCTGGTCGATGTTTCTCTCTCATTGACATTTCTAGCTCTCTATCTCTCTCCCTTCCTCTCTGTAAAAAATCAATAAAATATATTTTTAAAAAAAGAATCTGAGAAATATACTTTATTATGATTTTTATTTTCACTTGTGGTGGTACAGAATACCAGTGTGCAATAATTTGTTCTAATTCTATCACTTGATTGCTAAAAATTGCTCTTAGTTTTCGATACTCTGTCTGTATTTAAAGTTCACTTAGCAGAAACAATAAGACATTCTAAGATTAAAACTATAATTTTACTGTATCACTAAGTGTTAAACAAGTACTAATATGCATGAATCTCAAACAAGTATTAATATGCATGAATCTCAATTTTCTACATGTTTAGTGAAAATTTTGATTTAATAAAGTTGAACTAAATAGGATTCAGAAAGGTCTAAATGATCACTAAAGGATATATTTTAATAAAAAATATTAGAAATGAAAAATTCTTACTTGATTTTAGAAAGTTTCTGTAGAATAATACTGAGCTTTTCTAGTATTTGAAGATCAAGCTTAGGGGTTCGAAGCAGCACAGAGCAAGTACGAAAAAACAGAGTGTTGCTACAGGCTTCCAGGAAAGGCTGCAAGGATTCTGCAAAACAAATCCCAGTGTTTTAATGTTAGGGAGTAGCCAAAAAAGAAAAAAGAAAAATTAAAAACCAAAAAAAATCAGAATTGTATTAAGTATTTTTAAATATTGAGTTGATTTTCATATGAAAACTTTGAGGCAAAAATATCATCATCTTAAAAATTAAAATACCCACTGGCTCTTGTTGAATAATGCAAATCAAAGATAAGGTTATTTTCCCTAATATTAAACTTCCATTAAGCAGAATTGAGCAGAAATCCCATATCTGAAAGAAAGGGGGGGGAGGTAGTCATTTCTCCAATAAGTTCATAACAGTAGGCTGAATTTAAATAATTAGCAATAAGAAATTTTGTTGGGGACAGCAAAATGGCGGAAGAATAGATGGACGGGTTCTGAGCCTTGTCCCAAAGCAGAAAGAGAGAGCAGCTGAGGGTCGTGCTGAGTGTTTATTAGCAAACTAAGAGACAGGCGAACTCCAGGAGTAGGAGGGGTCTGCTTATCAGGGTGCCCCTGACAGGGAAGCACCCACGGCGGGGCTGGGTCCCCTTCCGGAGCTACCTACAAGCTTAAACGGGAAAATCTCGCCGGCTTTAAAGGAAAAGTGGATCTTGTCAGAGGCCTGAATATCCACATCTGCAGCGACCACCAATCAGTTGTGACCCCCAGAACGCTGATCCCAGGCGGCATGAACACTTGGACTCAAAGGAATGCACAGCAAAAAGGTCAGATTTCGCGGGGATAGGGTGAGGCCCCTGGCAGAAGACAGAAGCCCACGCGCCTTGTGGAAGCTGAAGGACTGGGACGGTGTTTACAAGGAGAAGCCCGGGCTGTTGGGCTGGTGTCTCCCCTGAGTGTGGAACAGGCTCCTAATAGGGGAGATATCTAAAGAGCAACGCGTTTTGATCTGACTCAGAGGGATACCGGGAGAATTACAAGGTAGTGCAGTAGGCTCAGACTCCCCACCCCCAGATCAGAGTCACATAGAGGGGAAAAAAATAAAAAAAATAAAAAAAATTAGAGAGGCTTTAGAGCCCTGGAAGTCAACCCAGAAACACTGCCACTCAGAGGCTAAATCACAAATTGACCCTAGTGTAATAAAAATCAAAGTAAATCCTGCTTAAAAATCAGGACTGGATTACACACTGAGAAGCAGTGAAACGCAGAGAACTGCAACACTGTCCGGAATGGGAAACAGGAATGCCAAACGGAATGATAGAGGAAATGAATGACCTTTACTACTGCACATTTTATTTAATTTTATTTTTATATTTTAATTTTTAAATTTTTATTTTTATTTTCATTATTTGCAACATTTACTCAAAAAACTATTTTCTTTTTTCCTCACTTGATTTTACCTTTTAATTATCACATTTTTATTTATAATTAGCATTATTACTACTATTTTACCTTTTTATCTTATTTACTTTTATTTATATTATTATTTTTTTAAGTGTCATATTATTTGCTCTTTATTTTACTTTGGGATTAGTGTTCTACAGTCTATTTTTACATTTCCTTCACCAACGCTTTATTCTATTTCAACCCTACCTTTATGCCATCACTCTCTTCCTAACTCTTCCCCTTTGGCGTCCTGTTTATCTTAACCCTTTCCTGCTCTAGATTTTCCCTATTCTTTCTGTTTACCCTCTGCTAAAACTTCACCCTACTTGTGTATATCTAATTTCCAACCCCCCTGCTCCAAGCCCATACACACTTCCCTTTTCGCTGTCCTAAAAAAACAAAAACAGCCAAAACTGGTTTGGCTCAGTGAATAGAGCATTGGCCTGGGGACTGAAAGGTCTCGGGTTCGATTCTGGACAAGGACATGTACCTTGGTTGTGGGCACATCCTCAGTAGGGGGTGTGCAAGAGGCAGCTGATTGATGATTCTCTCTCATAGATGTTTCTAACTCTCTATCCCTCTTTCTTCCTCTCTGTAAGAAATCAATAAAATATCTTTTTTTAAAAAAGAAAAAAAGAAATGAAACTTCCTTACTAAAAAAAAAAAAAGACTTGCCGAAACCAGTTTGGCTCAGTGGTAGAGCGTCGGTCTGCAGACTGAGGGGTCCCAGGTTCGATTCGGTCAAGGGCATGTACCTTGGTTGCGGGCACATCCCCTGTGGGGGGTGTGCAAGAGGCAGCTGGTCAATGTTTCTCTCTCATCGACGTTTCTAGCTATCTCTCTCCCTTCCTCTCTGTAAAAAATCAATAAAATATATTAAAAAAAAAAAAAGACTGTCTTTCTATTCTTTTGTAGTAGTATACTGAATGTTAACTATATCGAAGTTTTATGCTTTTTTGTGAGATTGTTTTGCTTATTCCTTTTCTTTAAATGTATGTTTTTGTTACATGTGTTTTAGTTAGTTTTTACTTCTGCTTTCCTTTCCTCGCTTGATATTAGTTGGAATTGTAAGTTGTATTAATCTCCAGATACTTGTTGCTGGCATTTGCTGTGATTAAGTGTTGTTCTATTGGAGTTTTCTTCCTACATATATAAAGTTAGTTCCTCATTTCTCTCGTAGTATCATTCTAGTTTCTCTCTTTTTTTTCTCTTTCTCCCAATTTCATTTTGCCACTCTTTTTTTTTCTCTTCTATCTCTCCTACCCCCTAATTTGCCTTTCTCTAGTGGTCACCTTTATTAGAGGTTATTAATATCGCAAATACATTCCAGTTAAGTGCCTTATGTCTTGTACCTGGTAGTGTTGTATTTTGTACCTTTAAATCAACGCAGCAGAAAGAAAACCACATAACCAAACATCCTGAAAAGAGAGATCATGGGGAGACAAAGAAATGGCCCACATATGAAAAAAAAGCAGGGATCACCAGAAAAGGAAATAAACGAGTTAGAGGCAAGCAACCTACCATAGCAAGAATTCAGAGTAATGATCATAAGATTGCTAAAAAGAATGGAAGACAAATTTGACAATATGACTAAGAATTAAGAGGAAATGAAGAAGAACCAAAAAGAAATGAAAAATGACATCGCTACATAAAGAACTCAATAGAAAGCATCAAGAGTACACTAGAAGAAGCATAGGACGAAATCAGTGAACTAGAAGACAAGATGGAAAAAAATACACAATTAGAGCAGCTTTTGGAAAAAAAATTTAAAAGCAGGAGGAGAGCCTAAGGGAACTTTGGGACAATACAAAACAAAAGAATATTACTCTAATGGGGGTTCCAGAAGGAAAGGAAACTGAGGAAGGCATAGAAACTCTGTTTCAAGAAATAATGTCAAAAAAACTTTCCTGAGATAGAGAAGAAAAAACCCACACAAATCCAAGATGCTCGCAGAGCACCAACCAAATGAATCCAAAAAGACCGACACCAAGGCACAATATAATTATATTGGCAAACATAAAAGACAAAGTAAGAATCTTAAAAGCAGCCATAGAGAGACAGAAAGTTACATATCAAGGAACCTCCATCTGACTAGCAACTGATTTCTCAACAGAAACACATCAGGCCAGAAGGGAATAGAATGAAATATACCAAGTCATGCAAAGGAAGGGTCTGAATCCAAGAATACTGTACCCAGCAAGGCTTATCAATCAAAATTAAAGGTGAAATCAGGAGCTTTACAGACAAAAACAGACTAAAGGAATTTATCACCACCAAACCAGCAATGTAAGAAATACTAAAGGGTCTGCTATAAAAATAAAGAAATAGAAAGCAAAGAAGGAACACAGGGGTATAGAATAAAAATGGTGACAATTAAGTTATCATTAATAATAACTTTAAATGCAAATGGATTAAATACCCCAATCAAAAGACATAGGGTAACGGATTGGATAAGAAAACAAGACCCATATATCTGCTGTCTACAAGAAACCCATTAAAAAAAAAAAAAAAAAAAAAGATGCACACAGATGAGGGTGAAGGGATGGAAAAAGGTTTTCCAGGCGAATGGAAATGAAAAAAAAGCTGGGGTAGCAATACTTATATCTGACAAATTAGTTCTCAAAGTGAAGAACATAAGAGATAATGAAGGCCACATCATAATACTAAAGGGAACAATCCAACAAGAAGAAATAACGCTGGTAAATATATATGCACCCAATACAGAAGCACCCAAATACATTAAAAAAAAAACTGCTGGAGGACATTAAGGGAGAGATTAACAGCAATACAATCATAGTAGGAGATTTTAATAGCCCACTATCACCTTTGGACAAATCATCTAAACAAAAAATGAGTAAAGAAACATCAATCCTAAATGACACACTAGACCAGATGGAATAAATCGACATCTTCAGAACATTTCACCCCAACGCCACAGAATATACATTCTTCTCAAGTGTACATGGGACATTCTCAAAGATAGACCACATGTCGGGACACAGGCAAAGTCTCTTCAAATTCAAGAAGATAGAAATCATATCAAGCATCTTCTCAGATCACAATGCATAAAACTGGAAATCAACTATAATAAAAAAAACAACCCAAAGAAATCAAACACATGGATACTAAACAGCATGCTATTAAACAAGGACTGGGTTACCAGAGAGATCAAGGAAGAAATTAGAAACATCCTGGCAACAAATGACAATGAAAACACAACAATCCAAAATATATGGGACACAGCAAAAGCAGTTTTGAGAGGGAAGCTCTACAGGCCTACATCAAAAAACAAAAAATAATGGTAATAAATCACCTAACCCTACAACTCAAAGAGTTAGAAAAAGAGCAACAAGAAAAGCCCAGTGTAAACAGAAGAAAATAATAAAAATCTGAGATAAACGACATAGAGACCAAAGAAACAATACATAAGATCAACAAAACCAAGAGCTGGTTCTTTGAAAGGATAAACAAGATAGATGAACCTCTACCCAGGCTAACCAAGAAACAAAGAGAGAGGACTCAAATAAACAAAATCAGAAACAAAAGAGGTGAAATAACAACAGACTCCACCAAAATACAAAGGATTGTTACAAAATGCTACGAACAACTCTATTCCAACAAACTGAACAACCTGGAGGAAATGGACATATTCCTAGAAAAAT